TGATCAAATATTTTTTTGGCAAATTGGTCAACTGTGCTTTTCAGCCTTTTCCATAAATGTTTGGGACATTGCAACTCTTTCTTTAGAAAATGGTCTTTTCTGAGTTTTAGACGCTTTCAAAGTTTTTAATTCTGCATATAAACAACACCCTAATTTTTCAGAACAAGATATAAACCAGGAATATATGTTTTCTTTTTATTCAGCATACGTACCAGATTTCCCAATGCTAGGAGAACATGCTTTTAGTTTCAATCAATCAATCAATCAATATATATTTCGTCAATGAACAAAAAAGAAAGAAAATTTTACAATGTACTTGTAAAATAAAAATAAAATAAAATATATTTTTTAAATTCTGACAGGAGCAAGCAGAAGACAATACATCTTATCATCTTGCCACTTTGATAGTAAAATAGTTAACTTTATTTACATGATTAAGTTCGTAAAATCTATAATTATAAAATTAGTTTATTATAAAATTACATATTTTTGAGTTAAACATACATATTCGTATTAGTAAATACATAAAAATACGACTTAAAAATACAAAAAAAATATTTTTATTGGTTAGATTTAACAAATGTTGTTTCACAGTTTTTTTAAATGCTTTAATTGAGGCTATAGATTTTATGTCATTATTCAGAATTGAGTTCCACAGACGTCGAACCCGACAAGTAATAGAGTAGTCCGATTTTTTAAGAGTTGTTGATGGTATGTAAAAATTTTCAATAGAATATCTTGTTAAGTATCTGTGATTAATTAAAGAGAAATGTGGCTGAAAATATGATGGAAGCATGTTATTGTGAAGTTTAAACATAAACAATAAATTTTGATAAATGTTTAGTTCGAATACATTCAGAGCTTTAATTTCTTTTAGTAAAGGCTTGGCGTATGCATATCTGTCTGCATTAAAAATTAACCAAGTCGCTTGTTTTTGTTTGCTATAAATTTTTTTAAATAAAGACGAGTGATTACTTGCCCAAGCTAACTAATATAGCTATGTATAAATGAAAAATATAAATTTTTGAGGCACATATTATTCAAAAGGTGCTTCATTTTGAACATGATCCCCAAGGTTAAAGAGATTTTGTTTTCTAATAATTTAATATGATTTTTCCAATTTAAATGTTCATCAAATAATATACCTAAAATTTTCATTGAATGAACATTTTTTATTTTAATGTTGTTTATAAATAAATCTGGAAGTTTAAGGGGTAAGTTATCAGTTTTTGAGGGTTTTGTGAACAAAATGTATTTCGTTTTATCATTATTTAAAGAGAGTTTATTAGCTTTAAACAAGTCGTTGAGATTTACTAGTTCAGTGTTAACAGTAGAAAAAATGTACTTTAAATTATTACCAGAAAAGAAAATATTGGTATCATCCGCAAAAAGAATGAAATTTAGTAACTCGGAGGATAAATGGATATCATTTATATATATGAGAAATAGTAGAGGACCAAGAATTGAGCCCTGGGGGACACCATAACTAATACTTTCTAATTGTGTACTTATTAAGTCATACGTAATACATTGTTTACGATTCTGAAGCCTGAAGACTGAAGCCATTTTAAATTCTGATTCAAAATTCCGTAGTTTTGCAATTTATATAGAAGGATTTCATGATCTACAGTGTCAAAGGCCTTCGATAGATCTACAAAAACTCCCAGTGTATAGTTGTTGTCATCAAAGCCTTTCAAAATAGTGTTAGTCAAATCAACTATCGCATGCTCAGTGCAATGGTTTTTTCTAAATCCAAATTGTTTATAGTATAAAATATTATTTTTTTCAAGATAATTGTATAATCTATTGTACATTACACGCTCAAGAAGCTTTGAAAAATAGGAAAGTATTGAGATAGGCCTGTAGTTGTTTTCTATTGAACCATCGCCATTTTTATGAATTGGAATTATTTCGCAAATTTTAATTGATCAGGAAAGACTCCATTTTTTAAAGAAAGATTAAATATAACGAAAAGTGGTGACTCTATAATATCATAGACTGCTTTTACAACATTTGAACTAACATCATCAAGACCAGCGTTTTTATTCGTTTGAAGTGTGTTAAAAGCTAAACGAAGCTCATCAATAGAAAGTTCTGAATGTTCCATAACAGATTTTTTCAAAAAAAACCTAAATGATTTGTTACTTGGAGAGATTTCACTGGCTAATTTGTTCCCAATGTTTATAAAAAAATTATTAAGTTTACCAGCAATTTTTTTCTTATCAAAAATTTCAACATAATCCTCTGTTTGAAGTTGTTTGGGAATGTTGTTAAATTTAGTTTTTTTTTTACTAATTATTTCATTTATTATAGCCCAAGTCTTTTTAGGATTTCCTAACGCTTTATACAGTAAACTCGAATAGAAATTTTTTTTTGATTGCTTTTTTAATTTTTCGAAATATTTCTTGTAATTTTTATATTTCGTTTCGTTATTAAAGGTTGGTTTTTTTAAAAGTTTTTCGTAGAGTTTTTGTTTTTTCTTTGATGATTTTAAAAGTCTTTTCGTCATCCAGGGGTTATGCACATTTTTAGATTTTATAGTTTTTTTAATTTTAGGGAAAGCTTTGTTATATTGTTTAATAAATACACGGATAAAAAAATCATATGCTTCACATACATCATTACAATCTTTCAACAGTCCCCAATTGATTTCTTGCAAAAGTTTTCGAAAATGTAAAATTTAGTTATCGTTAACTTGCCTTATATATACTGTTAAGGGTTTTTTTTTATACAGCTTTCAGCATTTATTGTTAAAAAAAAATAGGGAAATGGTCACTAATATCTGTTTTTATGATACCACTCATTAATTTCGAGTTTCTGAAGTTATTAGTAATAATATTATCTATGACAGATGATGTTTTATGAGTAACACGTGTTTCTCTACACTGTCAGCTGACGTCAGTTTCTCTACACTGTCATCTGACGTCAGCTCATGACGTTTTTGGTATATTGATATCTATGTTGCCATTACTATTTTTATAATAGCAACATAGACAGATATTGTCAGTCATTGTCACATTTGTCATTGTCACAACGATTTTGTTTTTGTTTCAAATAAGTACGACCTGTTATTTAAAATGTGTCATTTGTTTATATAATACTATAAAACGACTATCAATATTTAGATTACAAAAATTAAAATAATTTGTCATATTAGACTTATTTAATTTATAAAAGTCTTTTATACCAAGTTAACAACCCCACAGTAAGTTATTATCGTTACAATCTCAAAACATTTTATTGTAAAACGGCAAATTTACTTTTGAAAAAAGATTTTTTACAGACAAACAATTTCTAAGTCTACTTATAGCATATTTCAGTTGTACGTTCATTATAAAGAAAGAAAATAAAATATTGTTGTCAAAAAAGTAACTATAAATATATAAAAAAAATTTATTAAATTTTTATATAATTTTATTTAAAAAAGGGTTTACTACAACATAATTGAAAAAGTATTTCCAATATTTTTTATTATTATTTTATACTGTTTAATTTTATATAATTTTATACTGTTTAATTTTATATGGTATTGTATATTATTAAATAGAGGAGAGTGACTCATACATTTTTTTTTGTGTAATTGCAATATCTTTTTTATTTGATGTATAAACTGAACCAAACAAGTATTTACCAAGAAACCTTCTTTTTAGGCACCAATTCAATCCCCTTATGTTTCCATCCAATTATAAATAAGTATATAAGTATTTGCTTATTTAGAAATTATTAAATAGAAACTGATAAAATTATAAAATCGCCTAATCTACATAAAAATGTTTCAAAATCAAAAAATCAAATGGCAACGGGAAGAAACGGGATATAAATTTTTTATTTTATTATCCCATTACATTCTAACGTAAACACTTTTTTGAGGTACATTTAAAATTTTGGCTTCTAGCAGGAAAACAAATCAGTTTCCGCTAAATAGAGGAGAGGAAATTTAATTGTTTAAATTAAATAGAGAAAAAGAAATTTAATTGTTTACATTAAATAGAAGAGAAAAAATTTAATTGTTAACATTAAAAAGGGGAAGGAATTTATTTGTTGACATTAAATAGAGGGGAAGAAATTTAATTGTTGACATTAAAAAGTGGGAAAGAAATTTATTAGTTGACATTAAATAGAGGGGAAGAAATTTAATTGTTTGCATTAAATAGAGGGGAAGAAATTTAATTTTTGACATTAACAGTATATAGGCACCATTCAAAACTAGAAGTTTTAGACTGTCCCATTTCTCCCGGTCGCCACTTCTCGCCACCTCTCCCCATTTCCCAATTCTCCCCACTTTTTACTACTTCTTTTTTTTACTTTATTTTATTTTAAACTGTTTTAGTCTTTTATTATTTAAATCAAAAAAAAATAAATGCTAAAACATGAATATTTGTAGCACTTGAGTTTTTTTTTTTTTTGATTGTCATCTCTATACGTGATTATTTTATAATTACATGTGAGAAATAGCGTATGTTAAAATAATTTTCATTTTTTATGACTTCTATACTAAAAAAATTCACAACTTTAACAAAATCTATTAAATAAACTATAGGGCAGAAATAAAAAGTCTTGTTTTTCAAAAGGAATGGCCTTTTGTAAACTAAAAGGGAAATACAAAAAAATAAAAAAATAAACGTTTAGACGGGGGCAAAAATAACTAATATACTACCTAAAAATATCTATTTATTTTTGAGAAAAAACATTAATTCTTAGTATAATTCTAAAAATTTAGTTATCAGCTTTTAAAACTTGTGTCGCGGAATGAACAATAAGTTCCTTCCGTGAAAAAAGTTTCAATGGCTATAACTAAAAGTTTAGAATACTACTAACAGTTTTTTCTCAAAATAATTAGATATTTATAGCATGTTAGGTATTATTTCCTCCTTCTAAAAGTTTTTATTATTTTTTTTGAATTTCCAATGTAGTTAATAAAGGTCATTACTATTGGAAAAAGAGACTTATCAATCTTGCCGTATAATAAAGTTTATAATACAAAAAAATAAAAAAATTACCGCAGCTGCAGCAAGTCCATTGACACCCCCATTAGCATAAATTCTCCATTTTCGTGCCTCGTTAGCGCTTACAATGGAAGATATAATAAGTAAAATGCTAGTTGTCATGCAGAATATACAAAGCTGTAAAATAAATAAAAAACTCAAATATGTTTTGTTTGAATAGTTTAAACATCCATTTTATTTTTGAGATTTAACATGCATTTTTTAAAATATACTCGTTTATTGATCTTTCTACACAGATTTAACGATCAATTTATTGATTGATCAGTTAAACTTTATTGACAAACTTTATTTATTGATAACAATTTTAAATTTTCTATGAATTTTTAATTCTACTTATACCTTTACTTTATAATAAAATGAACAATAACTATAAAATCTGCAGGATACTTATCCAATTTGCAGTACAATAAACAGATATTTACGCAATTTGAAATTAAAAAACTGAGACCTACGCAATACAATAAAATAATATCAAATGTAATAATTATAATAAAATAAACTGATATCAATGCAATATTTAATTAAAAAACTTATACCAATGTAATATGCAGTAAGTAAATTGATGCCAATATTGGCATTTATATTTTGCAAAATATTTTTATTTTACAGGTTTAAGTACTTTATATATTACATATGTAATACATAAAGTACTTATACCTGTAAAATAAAAATATTTTTAGACAAGATTCATATGTTGATAACTTTCAAAAGAGAAATTTTAAGAAATTGGTATGCTTTACATGAGCATAGAAAAGATTTGTCAAACACTTTAGTGTATTCTAACATAATATCTATAACGGTTATGATACAAAATTTAGGTTGTGGTGAATTTGAAGTTTTTAATACTACAAAATGTTTAAAAAACAAAAGGAGTATGTTCAACTTTACATACATTTTTTGCCCATTTTTTTTTCTTTTTTTCTGAAACACATATTTACGCTTAAGGATGTGTGAAAACAATATAAAACAACACTTTACAACTTAAAAACAAAATAGCTCCCTTCCCCCTCTTCCTTTCCGTTCTCTTCCTCCCATTACTACTCCTTTCCCCCCCCCCCCCCCCCCCACCGTACAAAAGAAAATAATAATAATAAATGAGTCTTTAACTGTTTAAGTTGCTTTTTTTAAAAAAAAATTTGAAATATGGTAATTTGACGTATTAATTTGTAAAAATTAACATATTAATAATCAATTAACAAATTAATATCAATCAATTAATAAATCAATTAACAAATTAATAATTTAATATCAATTAACAAATTAATAATCAAAAACTTCAGGTCTTTTACATAATTAAATATTGTCTTTATTTTACATTACTAAAAATAAAATGATCTAAGAAATAGACATTGTTGTGTTTGTCAAACTAGAGATGACAGTATAGATTCGAAAAAAGTTATTGAAATTAAAAGCAAAAGTTTGATAAATTTTGTTTTTTATCATTTTAAGTGCAATATTTTTTTAGATTATATCTTATACAGTATCAGATCATTTGTTACAAATCATAGAAATAAAGTTCTTATTTCTAACAATATAGTTGTCAAAGATTTTAAATGATAATTCTTATATTGTTCTCGAAAACTATAAAGACTTTAATTCTAGGATTAAAAACAATAAAAAACATATTAAATTGTTCAAAAGAACAAGCAGTTTAACTCTTTTGGTTAAAGACTGGTCTTGATCAAGATTTAATTGCTTGTTATTTTGCTTCAACATATCGGTGAAAAGTTCAGAAGTATTGTTATCAGATAAGAGCCTTGCTTAATGCTAATTTTTTTGGCAGATGTTCAGTTAAGCTTTTTGTAGTATGCACTGCAAATGGTTCTACAAGTGTTGTTTATACTGATGTTTTCTGGACCTGTTTGTTGATGTTGATAAACCTTTTGCTGCAACTATTGACACAAACTATTGATCTTGATGACTCAACTAAATTAAATGATATTTTTAAATTAAAAAGTAATTTAAGAGAACTAGTTTAGTCTATTTATTAGTTTTTAGATAGAGGTTTTAGAGATATCAATGATGAATTAAAAACTACACATAAAGTGTTTACCAAGATGTTAATTTGTTTTAAAAGTCAGTTTACTAGTTTTTAAACTATCAATACATGGTTTGTTACAAAATGCAGAAGGGTTGTTGAAGCAGTTAAGGGTAAATTTAAACAATTTTTTGATTGTTTAAAAAAAAATAAGGAGTAGAATGATTTCTCATATAATGACTGATGTTAAAAGAGCTCCTTTGATTAACTGCTTTAATTTAAAATATCTATCCGAGAAAAAAAGACGTTAAAGATATTGTATATAAGATAATCCTATTTAAAGATAAAATTAATTTAAAAAATTAAATGGAATACATTTTAAATACAAAAAAAAAAAGTAAAAAAAAATATAAACAATTGACGCTTTAGATATAAATGATTTCCCAAAGTTTTTAACTGGAGGCTATTTGAAAATACAGTTTTATACAAAACATTTGCAACCAACGTCGAACGATGCTGAAAAAAGTTCGTGATTTTACATGTCTTGAAAACAAAACGAGTTGTGCTGCCGCGGCGGGCAGTTCATGAGTTTGGGGTCGGGGCGTGGGCGATCAACTTGTGGGTGGGGCCATGACATGGGCAATCGGCTGGTGGGTGGCGGCACGCGGGCAGAATCTTGTTGACAAGTGCCGTTTTGCAGCGGTATAAAAGCAACTTTTTTGGTTTGTTTAATTTTCTTAAGTCTGGTATTAAAAAAGTCTGGTATCTGTATTAAAGTCACGGAAGTTTTTTAATAAATAAAGGAAGTATCCAGAAGTTTCCAGAAGCATGCAGAAGCTTCCAGACGTTTCCAGAAGAAGCATCCAGAAGTATCTAGAAACATTCAAAAGCACCCAGCAGCATCCAGAAGTTTCCAGAAGCATCGAAAAGAAGCATCTAGAATTTTCCAGAAAAGGTTCAGACAGGTTCATTTTACTTTATAAGAGGCATGTAAATCAACATGTAAATCAGTCAGTATATGAAAGTCAATCAGTTAGTATTATCAACACAGTTTATCGAAGAGAGTTTTATCAAAAAGTTTTATCAAAGAACATCAATACAAGAAGTGAATTACAACAAGTGTTTTATTACATCAATACAGTCTACATCCAACCAAGACGTTGTGTTCCACAGAGCATTATTGTATTATCACAAGGTAAATGTAACACGGTAAGCCTTGAGAAGCGTGATTATACATTTTTATAATTTTTATGGCTTTAAGTGCAACAAATGCTCCCAACAGGCTTAGATTGGAATTAAGAGAAAAAATTATTGACAATTACGTAAGTGGAATGTCACAAAAAAGTATTTGTGATAAATATCGTGAAAAAACGGACCGTATCAAGACTATGTTCCAAATATGGTTCTACCAGAAAATTGGGAGCAGATAACAAAGGTGGAAGACCGCTTTCCACTACTTTTAGAGAGGATTCTATGATTGTCAGATCCGTCAAGAAAAATCCCTGGATATCATCAGTCGAGATACAAAAGCAATTAGAGCTGCCTGTATTGGACCAAACAGTCTGACGACGTGCTGTTGAAGCCGGATTGTTTTCTCGACGCCCTGCAAAGAGACCGCTGATTTCACTAAAAAACCAAAAGAAAAGACTCATGTTTGCTACACATCATATTGACTGAAACGTGCAGAAATGGCAAACTGTCTTGTTCAGTGATGAAACGAAGTTCAATATTACGGGAAGCGACGGCATTTTCCGTGAACGTTGACCGGCCGGAAATGTGCCTCGATTGGACCGTTTTATGTATAAAAATATCCTGAAAGATGTTATGTTACTTTATGCGGAATGGAATATGCCAATAAAAAGGGTTTTTCAGCTAGACAACAATCTGAAAAACACTGCAAAATTAGTCAAACAGTGGTTTCAAGACAACCTACTATCTGTGATGGATTGGCCACCCGAATCTCCGGATCTCAACCCTATCGTCAACCGCATAATTAATCTTAAATGTGTTTGTAATAAAGATTAACTGTTTAAACAAATCCAAAATCCAGGGATTCCAAAAGTTTCATTGATCACCTGAACGATTGAATGCTTCGAAGATTCAAGGCTGTGATCGACAACAAAGGATTCACCATTAAACATTGATAGTTAAAAACAGCTTGGTCAACATTTTGGGGAGTTGCACTTGTTTTGTCCAAAAGGAAATCAATTTTTTTTAATACTTTTAATTAATTTATTAATTTTCGTGTACAAATAATGAACTTTGTGATGAATAAAACTTGAAGAACGTTGTCACTAAACAGTTACATTGTTATTTCTCTAAATTGAAAAAAGGCAGCGCTTTTATATAAAGAAACTAAATTAGCATTATTTGGTCGCACTTGTTTTGTTCGATATTGTACAATTGAAGAAAGTCTCTAATTTCAGTATTTAATTTTAGTATATAAAAAAATTTTAAATTTCAAGATTTACAACATAACAACAGGGGCGAGTAGAGTAAAGGCGAACGCGGGGTAACTTTGAACATGGTCAGAATACCATTGCAGAAAAATAAATTTGACTATTTCCTTTTACCTGCTGAGAAGGGATCCCATGCTTAATTCCAGACGTGCAGTAGTGTAATGAAGCTGCAGATGTTGTTCACTATAATTTGGTTTTAACTTTTTCTTATAATTTTGTGCAACCTTTTTCTTGAGTAACATACTGTTGTAGCTTTTATGGAAATAAAGCCACTCCTTTTATTTGCTGTTGTTGTATAATATAATTTTTAGACTTTGTTATTACAATTAGTATTTTATTCCTTATTACACAATAGTGTTTTTGATTGCCCCACGATGTGTTCGAAATTACGCCACGTAGGTAGGGCAATTATGAACACTTATGGTTTTATTTTTGCCATAAATTTCTATTTTATAATGAGATTTAAAAATTGTTTTTGAGGATTTGTGAAAGAATAGTTAAACTCATTGATACGCAATAAATATTATCAATTTTGTATAACTGGTGTCTTTAACTCATATTTCCGTTTAGGTGTTTGCCAATACCCTACTCTCTCTTAGAAGTTAAATAAATGTAAAATAATTAGAACCATTATACAGTTCCATACTTATTAGTTAGTGGTTGGTTTTTGTCAGTTAAAAACTGTGCAAACAAAGTTTATTTCAGCTTTGATTATATCCAATGTTATGGAATGCTCAGACTACCAGCATAGGTTTGTTGTTAGAGTTGTCCGCTAACCCAATTTTGTTTAATAATATCTTTATCTCCATACATAAGGTTTGCCTTAACTTCTTTAAAAAATGAAATGAAATTAAATCTTCTTTGTTAAAAATAATTGAGCACCTGATTATGTTTTATGTAGTAAAATGTTGTTAACAGTAATTAAGAAAACCAAAAAAGTTGCCTTTCAACGTTTTTGTAATCTTTTTATTTCGAAATTCAAATTAGCTAAAAATTTTGCAATTAAATAGTCGGCATTCAGTAGACTTTTTTTCTGTCTAATCTGAGTTTACTCCTAATCCTTTATTATTAGTTAAAGTATTTTTTATAATTAAGTTCAAAGTCGCCATATGGTTTACTCCTGCAATTAACAATTAAAAATAAATATATATTTCTTACGTTTTCTACATTATTTATTAAAATTATATTACTATATTTTTTATTATAATATGATCATTTTTAGAGAAACTGTTCATATTTGTAAATGTTGTTTTTACTTAAAATGTTTACTTCTACTCTATTCAATTCAAGGGGGCCGAGCTTTTTTGATTGCTGGGTCCTCGGGCAATGCGTGGCTAAGCTCATTTGTTTTGGCGGTAATAGTACTTTTAAATGATTTTTTAATATTGTTAAATTAATAATAGTTTTTTCAAGTAATAGTAAAATATACTACTAAAACTTCAATAATATTGGTGATTTTTTTTAGATCATATAACAGTTGCAAGTGTTTTTTTTTTTTTTTGTAAACCTTATTTAAATTGGAAATAAAAAAAAAAAAATAATAAACATTTAATATTAACTTTGAAAGAAAGCTAAGGTTGAGTTTTTAGAAATCAGTAAAAGTATTCTACTTTTTGTTTAATTTATACTTCTTTATTCAAACTCTCCCCCGAACCTTGTCCATCGAAGTAAAACAAAGCATCTTATTTTTATTTGTGAATTTATTTTTTATACACCAGGGCCTCAACGACACCCAAAATCAACTTTCTTGTTACCGGACCTCTCTGTTTAAGATTTGTAAATAATTAATCTATTGAATAAGTGTGTAAAAAGTTCATAAAAATACTCACAGTAAGCGGCCAATTAATAAGGATTTTAGTGTGAATCTTTAAAATGAATAAAACAAGGAAAATGCTGAGTACCAGCCAAGTTGTAACAGTCATAAACAAAAAGTAAGAAACTTGCGAAATTATCCAAGGTGACCATAATGTATTATCTTTCCAGCCAGCCATTATCACCCAGGCAAGAAAAAGTAAAATCTAAAAGATAAAAAATTTATATTTTTATTTACAACAAATTTTTTTATAAAAACTAAAATTGCTAAAAAACTTTAAAAAAAATAAATCTTCACATTTTAAGTTTTACTGATTTAAAAAGTTAAAAACATCTTATTTCTCACTTACTATGTTTACACATGTTAAAATTCCTGCTGGAGAGCGTAAAAATCCAAAGTCGGGTTTTAGATCCACCTTGAACCCTATGTTACTACCTGAACTGTTTGTTGGAGCGTCAGACATGCTTTTAATAGTTAAACTATTTACTTTAAGAAAACAAATTTTTATGTTTATTATCATAAATTATAATGTTTATTATCATAAATCTTTAAATAAACTGTTTAACTCAATAAGGCTGCAAAGATAATTTAAATGAAATATTAATGTTGATGAGTTAGTGCATTGATAACTTATTTGCTGAAAACGGAAATAACTTTCTATGTTTCTGATGTTCATTATTTAATTTAAAAAAAAAAAGCAACTTTTTTGATTCTGGAGCTTTGTGCAATTTTGTGCAATAATATTCATAGTATAAAATATTTCTACAATACAATTGGTGTTTTATTAGTTATAACAAAAAAGTAAAACAATAATTTCAAACAAATGGTTTTACATACTTTACTTATAAAATCAACTATCCACAGTATTTTTAATAATTGAGTCTTTATGTGATTTGTGACAAACTTATTTACCGTTTTTAATCAAAACATGGTATTCAAATATTCAGTACTACAAACATTTTCTGTACTACAAATGATTAGTATTACAAATAATATCAAATCATATCTTTAAATTTTATTTTAAAAATAAGGTTTAAATAGAATATAGTAATGCTATTGTATAGCAAAAAAAAAAAAATTAATTGGTAACCCTTTTATCAACTTGACGGCAGTTTATGACATTACAAAGGAATTCATTAAAAATTTGTATGTTTTTAATAACTTTGTTAATATATCCATATTTTTGAGCAAGTGGTGAATATTGGTTTAATGGACAACCCCATTCTTAGGACTTTAAAACTTTTAACAAGATTATTGTCTCACAGAACTAAGGAAAAAAAAAATGTTTTAATGTAGAATGGATTGCCTAACTCTTTATGCGTTTCCACAATTTGTGGTCTAAATACTGGCCGCACAGCTGTTTTCAAGTGTTTTCACAAATATATAAAAAATCACGACATAACATCCCGAACAACCACTATTTATTAGTGGTTACTCAGTTTGTAATGTTGTGACTATTTATTTTTTATAACTATGAGTAATTGTCAAGCACCACACCTTAAATACCAAAAATATAATTTGTTTTATAATAAACAGGTTGTCGGTAATATGCGAACTGCGAACCGGTAAAATGCGAACTTTTTTGGGAACCAAAACATTATTTTAAAGACCATTACTGTTATGATAAAAATAATAATAAAAAAACTCTCCAATTCTTAATTATCTATTTTAAAACCTTATTTAGTTAAATTTTTTTATTTTATAACTGTAAAACATGCGCGAAGTGTTGCTACATCGACTATCTTATAGCCTAATTCGCAACGGAGTGTTGCTACATCGACTATCTAATAGCCTGATATGCATTGGAGTGCTGCTATATCGACTATCTTATAGGCTGAATCGCAACGGAGTGCTGCTAAATCTACTGAGGGTTTGGTTTAGGCAGGCAGTCTATTAAATAAATAAAAAAAAATATTTTTTATATTGTATTTGTTTATGATCACTTAACTTCCTTTTGTTTTTTTAAATAATTTTTTCGATTAAAATTCTTTAAAATTTGCCGCTAAATGAGCTATTTAACGGAAATAAATTATTATATCATTAATTTCAAATTCATTTAAATTCAATTCAAGGTCCATCCTTAAAAGTAGGAATAATTAAAACGGATATATCTGACCACTTCCCAATTTACTTATCACTATCACAACAAGCAACACGTGTCAATAACTTGAAAATAAAAATCATCAAAAGAAGCATAGATAAATTTTCGACCCAAAAACTAAAAGAATCACTAGCGGTAGTAAATTGGTCAAAAATCATGAATGTAACCTCGGACGCACAAATTCCGCCTACAATAAGTTTATAAATATTTTCCTAAATATCTTTAATAAACATTTTCCAAATGTCGAAAAAGAAACTAAAGCAAAATACCTGCCCAGCGGGCATTTGTTTTTAAAAGTTACGTTCTAAATGTGTTTTAAATGTCTTTTAAACGTCTTCTAAACATTTTCACGTAAAGAACGTCTAAAACACGTTTAAAACACGTTTAAAAGACAATTAGAACGTAACTTTTAAAAAGAAATGCCCGTAGGGTAACCACTCCATGGATTACCAAACGAATAAGAAAATCATCAAAGCGAAAACAAAAACTCTACATAAAATATATAAAAAATAGAAACGATATTAATTTTTCTAAGTATAAACAATGTAAAAATCTATTTAAAAAAATAAAATTAAAATCCAAAAAACTATATTTTTCAAAGCAAATACAAAACTTTAAAGAAGATAATAAAAAATCTGGGATATTATAAAAGAAAAAATTGGTAAAGATAAAAAAAAACTCGAACCAACTACCTCCAAAAGTTCTCATAAGTGAAAAAGAGTTTAATAATAAAAAAATTATCTCTGAAAAATTTAACAAATACTTTGCAAGTATAGGTTCCAAACTCGCCTCTAAAGTTCAACCTACAAACAATTCATTTGAAAATTACATTGAGGACTCTCGTTGCTCCCTAGTTTTTAAAGAACTAGAATACAAAGAACTTGAAACAGCAATTAAAAGATTAAAAATCAACAAAGGTCCTGGTGTCGACAATATCCCAGCCAATATTATTTTGAATGTCTTCCCAGAAATAAATAAACCTATTTTTCTAATATTTAACTCTTCAATAATTACAGGAATTGTACCTGACTATTTAAAAATAGCTAAAATTATTCCTATCTATAAATCCGGAGATACATCTTCCTTAAATAATTACAGACCAATATCAATCCTTCCAGTATTTTCAAAACTGCTCGAACGAATAATCTACAATCGTTTATATAAATACCTGACCACAAACAAAATCCTGAATAAAAACCAATATGGTTTTCAAACTCAGCACTCGATAGAGCATGCTATCGTAGACCTCGTCAATAGGATTAGTGAATCAATCTACGAAAAGAAGTTCGTATTAGGAGTCTTTGTAGACTTGTCAAAACCGTTCGACACAATAAATCATAAAATCCTACTAAAAAAGTTGGAAAAATACGAATGAAAAAACCATACACTGCAGTGGTTTAAAAGTTACCTGTGTAACAGACAATAGTGTGTTATTACAGATGATAATTACCACAATAAATTATTAAAATTAACTTGCGGTGTTCCTCAAGGTTCATTTCTTGCTCCTCTTTTGTTCCTAATCTATATAAACGACCTTACAAAAGTTTCTAGCAAACTTGAATTTATAATGTTTGCATACGATACAAATTTATTTTACTCTTCGACAAACATCAAGGATCTGTATGATAATGTAAACATAGAACTCCAAAAATTAAATATATGGTTTAAAACAAATAAGTAATCCCTAAACATAGAAAAAACAAAATACACTTTATTTCGCTCAAACCAACAAGAAACACACTACCAAATATTCTACCCTCTCTAAAAATAGAAAATATAGTAATTGAGAGAACTCACGAAACTAAATTTTTAGGAGTTATAATTAATGAAAATTTATCTTGGAAAAGTCACATAAATGCTTTAAATACTAAAATATCGAAAAACATAGGTCTACTTTATAAAGCAAAACCTATGCTGTCGTAAAGTAATTTAAAACTTATATATTTCTCTTTTATACATAGCTACCTCATATTCGCGAATATAGCTTGGGCGAGTACGCATTTAACCAAATTGAAATCTTTATATCAACGTCAGAAACATGCTGTAAGACTAATCTACCATAAAGACAAATTTACACACGCTGAACCCTTATTTAAAGAAATGAATGTGCTTAATACTTATCAAATTAACATTTACCAAAGTATATTGTTTATGCTAAAATTTAAATTAGGTGAAGTACCAAACCATTTTTTAAATAACGTTAATAAATATAACACAAGAGAAAAAGAAAACTTTATTACACCTTTCAAAAAAACAAAATTTTCCCAGTTCTCAATTTCATATCGGGGTCCTTATTTATACAACAAACTAGTAACTAAAAAAAAATCAATTTGCAATCTTGATAATCAAAATTCCTTGAAAAAAAAGTTAAAATATCTGATACTGAATAAAACAAATACTCAGAATTCTTCTTAGACTATAAATTAAAATACATATATATCAACTACAAAGTGAACTAACTCGTTTATGTGTATTATCAAAATGACTCTTATCTTTCTCAAACAATATATCAAAAGTTGTTTATTACACACAAAAAAAAGACTTGATTTTTTCTTATCAATTTTAGTTATTATGCTGCTTGTTATGTCTACATTTTTATACTGAGCTTATTTTAAGTTTATTTTTTAATATGAGCTTAATTCAAAGACTATAAAAATATAGTTGTACTTAATATATAATTATATTTAACATAATCATAATATATATCAAACACATTGTAAGGGCTTCGTGATAAGATCATTACGATCTTCTTGACGTCCGGCCTGTACTATTTAATTATAAATTTCACTATATATTTTGACTCACGAGACTTGTAAATATTACAACTTTTAATTTACAAAAGTTTGTAAATGTTATATGTACGGCAAATATATGAATAAAATAATAAAAATAAAAAATTTACAACCAATAGGACGATGGTTCGCAAAAAAGTTCGCATATTACCAGTTCTCAGTTCGCGTTCGCATTTTACCGAGTACCTAATAAAAACAATTTAAAAATTTAATTATATAAATTTTGTGAATACCAGGTTTAAGTTTGTAATGTCCGTAATTTAAAAAAGAAATTTGTCTAAGAAGGGTTTGAAGTTGAAAAAATTACATTTTTTCAGGCAAAAAAATGGTCTACCAACTTTTATACATGCTTACTCTGGCCCATGTCGCAGATTGTTTTAAAATAGTCTTATAAAATATGCAAAATCAGCAAAGGGTAATTTAAAGTGTACAATTTTATAAATAAGACATGTGTCAAACATGCCGTTCATAAAAAATAAACGGCATGTTTGCCCCCCTCTGCCTCCTTTTTATTTATAGAGAGGAAGGGGGACCGGATTTTGACCGGATTGAGTGGATTTTTTTTTTTTATGTTTTAATTCTTTAAATGACTTTTTACATTGATAAAATGGTAACTAAAGCTCAAAATATGATTTTTGCAAACTAAAAAAAATATTTTTTAAAAATACTCGGTTGTCGTAATGTATAATATATACATGTTAAAATTTGTTACACGATTTGTGAAAACAATTTGCAAGATTAATACAAAATTTTGCTTTGTAAATTTTTTTATATAACTTTAAAAATAACCTTTAATTATAAATAAATTTTATAAATACTTAGAGTCAATAACTTATTGGAATAACTGTACAATGCTAAACGTTTTTACAAAGATGTCTGGCTATAAAAATAGCTGTTTAACAAAAAGCAGCTCAATCATTTAAAGTTATACTTTTATCGTATTTGAATTTATTTAAAAACACAACTCATAAGTATTTATAACAAACTTCAAAAGGTTTGTTGCTTGTAATGTTTTAGTATTATTAAATTAAAGTTCATTTTTGAAATTCAGGCAGTTAAGTTAAATTCAATTTTAAGTTAAACTAAATTTCCCACAAATCAAATTTGAGTAATAAAACCTTTGGTTTTGAAATAATAAATAAACCTAATAAAGCCTTTGGTTAAACAAGACACTTAAAATTATGATTTGGTCTTCCCAACTAGTGTAACAAAACATTGAATTTCTGCAATTGTTTTTTAGAAGAAACTGAATATTAGAAAGAAGAAATTAAAACACAGGTGCTATATAACACTTCAAAATTGTATCAATCGACCATTGTGTTAAACTCAGTAATCTAGATAAAACTCAGAT